CCGCAAAAGTATGTACATACATATGTATTATTAACGTACATACTGTAAAAAAAAAATGAAATTCTTAATAAGCTAGCAAGACTTTTTCGGGACTTCAAAGCGATCATTTTAATAAATTGTTTTCTCTTACTTCTCCTACTATTAATTTGAGCTCCTGAAGATATTAGTCATGACTGTTGGTGAAACGTCGAAAAAAAATAATAATTCTATAAAATGATGGTCTATAAGTCCGAACAAATCAATGATATTATTTATTTTAAAATCTAATAACAATACACTATAATTGTTGTGTATATAGGGGACGCTATGGAAGTCAATAAAAAAAAAGATAAGTTGGTACCTCTCTCAAAGGGCTAGTTAGAGTCAAAAGTTGTTGAGAGGAGTAGAGATAGACCTAGATTAGATTACGGTTCAAAAATAGTTAAGTAAGTGGGATGTTCTAGTTTTAGGGAAATGCGAAGATTAGTTCAGGATAGGAAAGAGCGGAGGTGCGTGTCCACCGACCCTACGATGATGATGATAATGATGTTATCTAAACAATTTTTAAAGTGTAATTTCACATTTAGTGTTTAACATATTTTAGTAGCAGTTTATTCATAAAAAAAATGCACTTAAAAAAGAAGTAAGTACTTACAAATTTAAGTCCTTTTCAAGTGTCATGTTATCACCTCTAATAATAAATTGAGCTGTAGCATTTCAAGACCGCAAAACACTTCTGTACTCACTAATAACTAAACTGTATTCGTAAGATACGTTGTTTGCATTCAAATAGATTTATTTTTATTATCGTAATTTTAGATATAACATATTCAACAGGGTCGTGGGCATTATAATATAATTAATTAATTAATCGCCTATTTTTAAATTTTTTTCCCCAACGTTAGAAAAAAGATACTTTTGTATTATATACATATATATGGGATTTTGCGCAGGTATTGAAAAGGAACACTTCTATTTCTTGAAAAATTATGCCTCATTTATTTTTCGGGCCAATTCAACCACAAATAAAAAAAAAATAAAACAACTGCCGTATCTTTGTGATAACGAAAAGTGATTGATTAATTATTTGGTTGAATTGAAAAACCCCTACAATAGAAATACAGTTTAAAAAAGTTTCTCAGATTCCTTGTTAGAAGTAAAATATACAAATGCACACCACTGGTATTGAAAACATATTCAGTAATTATAAGTAGATAACAGTTCGATCTGTATTATCGGGTATTATCAAAAAATATTTACGATAATGTCAGCTAAAACTAATTAATAAGTTTATTAAACACATCTTATTGCACAGATAGTAAAGATAAATTTTAAATAAGAATCATATACCTATATCATTTATTTCTGCTAAAATTGCAGTTTAATTAACATTAAACAACTTTCATAAATACTTCAAATTGTAAGTATCTGTATGCAAATGTAATGTAAACACATGTAGGATTGCAATTAAAATAAATATGTTTGTTAGTTTTACAACTTGCTTACCCCATATTCGTACTTTGTAGTATTTTTAATTAAATTACTCATTTTGTATATTTTTATCTACACTTATAGTTTTATTTTAATATTTAAATACCTACTTTAGGTGATACGCACAACTCGTTATAGTTTTAAATTAATTTAATTACTTTTAATATACTTGGCAACGTCGACGTTCTATAGTACTTTTGCGTCATACAATTTCCTATAACATCATCTATGTTTTAAAAGTTAACCTTATAGATAGACAACGTAATTAACCTTAATTTTGTTTTCAAGTTGTTAGTAAAACTATTTAAACTTTGATCTTATTTCTAAAGCATTTTTCTACAGGAAAATGGCAGATGAACTCGATAATGTAAATATTAATACAATTGTAAGCATTTTGCTGTATTCATTGAGGAATTATTTTTGTAGCTTCCAGTTATTACTGTGAAGGAACCCCTAGATTTAGTCAGATTAAGCTTAGACGAACGGATTTATGTCAAGATGAGGAACGATAGAGAATTACGAGGACGGTTACATGTAAGTTAACATGATTTATATTTTAGTTTAACATTAATTTTGGTTTTATTCCTGTCAGGCTTATGATCAGCATATGAATATGGTTCTTAGTGATGCGGAGGAAACAATAACGACAGTGGAAATAGACGAAGAAACGTACGAAGAAGTTTATCGTACAACTAAGAGAAACATTCCCATGTTGTTTGTTAGAGGAGACGGTGTGATCTTGGTGTCACCACCTATGCGAACAGGCTAAATCCCAAAAATGCATAAGTAAATTTAATTAAAAATTTCAAGCTTGTTTAACTTTACAAATAAGATGGACGGAAAAAAATCATTAAAATAGAAACCATAAAGTGCATTAAATATTTATTATATTACAAAGACAAGTACAAGTAGTTTTAATGTATCGCTTAATTTAAAAGTTATAAAGTTACAGTATAATACACAAGTTCCATATGTATATATATAAGAGACCATTTCTACAGTTTATGGTAATGTAAGAATGGGAAAAGCACATAGTACAACTACAAAAGTAGAAACAACAAATATTAATTGCGATAATACTGCAATAAAACATTATCCCACATTTTCAGGCATTTAGAAACATACAAACTTTGTTGATAAACTGTAAGACAAAAACGTTTTACTATACAATTTTTTAAAAGCTTTCACTACAAGGTGCATATAAAATGTTAATTCGATTTTATTATTCATGATTCACATTAATGAAAATAAAAAGGCAGCAACCGGGTAAGCAAGGGCTAACTAAATTTCACATTTTTGTGCATCTCAACTAGTATTAATATTTACTTTCACTCAAAGCATTGCACCAGAAATTGTACTATTTTTCATATAAAAAAAAGGGTATTTTAATTTTTTTAATCACAAATTCTTGATTGGATCTTAATAGAAATATTTATTGTAGATGTTTCAAAAGAGAAAATTATGCTTTTGATTGAAATACAAATGTCATGTTAAAATTTTTTCTTTTTTCAATCTTCGATTTTAAACTCATCGTCTGTTCTTCCCTTAAATTTAACAGCTATTTTTTATTAAGATTCATTCATTCACAAGTTATTAGAAATTAGTGTTATTGGTTTTCTTCACCAACCACTGCAACTTCTCGCTACTAAGAGACATAAATAAGTGCTAGTGATAGTAACTTGCCCAAAAAATTATTTGTAGGGTCAAACTACCATTACTTACTCGGCTGACCTTTAATGTTACAGCATAAAAGTAAAACAAAAAATGACAAAAAGGTTGCTTGTAAGACTCCCTATTAAAGTGAATATAATTCGTCATTCTTGTTTTATATTTTGGTGACTAAAATTCATTAGATTTTTCGTTGCACACAAATCACACTCCAAAACAACTCAAGACCAAGCTACAAGCAAAAAATAAATTTTTAATCTCAATTATAATACCTTTAAAAAATGTTTACTGTTAAATTCTTTTCCTATAAAATATTTCATATAATTTATGTTTGAATTGTGCAGAAATTACAGCATAAGCCTTTTGCCTAATAAGAAAGCGCGTTATTTGAATAAAAAAGACATATTACGCTAAAAATTAAAATGAACGTGTTTTGCTTTAATTATTGTCAGTATATTAT